GGAGGAACCAACTGAAGGCACTTAACAACAACATATAATCCATTTGATCCTCGCTGGTATCTTTTCATAATTCTAGGTTTTCTTTAGAAATGTTGCTTCTTTTAATTTTAAGGTCCCTCCAATTTAAGCTGAGTTCTGATAGGGCTTTATAGGATTAGCACTGCTAACCGCAAGATGGCGGATCAAACTCACCAAGCCCTCTTACAAAACCCTACACAGGGTCTTGATGAGTCAGAACCTACTAGAAGGTACTTAACAACAACTTAAATTTGCAATATGTTTAAAGTGTATTTCAAATGCTATCTCTTTGAAGCCATTGCTACTCGTCTAACTTCTCCACCTCAGTGCTACTATGCAAACACCCAAACTTCAATGTGCATTAGAATTATCTGGAAAGTATATTAAAACAGTTTGCAGCAGGTCTATGAACCACCTCATTCCCTTTTAAACCCTGCTGAGAGTTTGCATTTCCACCCAGATATAGTAAATCAGAATCTAGATTGAAACAAGCTTCCCAAGTGATTCTTATAGATCCTCCAGAATGAACCTGTTGGAAGCAGTGGTTTACAGGGCCTCTCCGCAAACCCTCAGAGTTTCTGAATCAATTGATTTGGCTATTGTTACAATATCAGGTCCACCATTTTAGGCTGTCCCTTCCAGGTGCTTCCCTCTCCTCTCCCTTCAACTCCATTTTGTCTGTTTCCCCGCCCTAAGCTACAAGATGCATAGTTTAAAGGGCAACATGGCTTTTGATAGGCTACAGCTGAATCACCTTAGCAATGACCACTCCCTTCCCGTTGAACCTATATAAGACCACTCCCTTCCCGTTGCCTTCCTTTTCTTCTTTCTGTCTTCTTTTCTTCTCCCCTTCTTTCTGCCTTCTGCTTTCTTTCTCTGGCAGAGTTCACCTTCCTCTTCCTTACCCTGAATAAAAGTCTGTAAATGGACCGTCTGGTGTGTGGTGTGGTTGATGAGCAGCGCAGGTTGTTGCTTTCCTTTCAGGTGTGGCTCCTTAATCTGCATTTCTAACAAGTACTCATTGCTTTTTCAGTCAGGAGCTCTGGTAGTAGTGGTTACCATTTGGGCTGCAAACCTCCGGGACAGCAGTTCGAGACTACCAGCTGTTCTGTGAGAGAACGATGAGGCTTTCTGCTCCCGTAAAGATTTACAGCCTCAGGAAACCCTGTACAGGGTCGATATGAGTCAGAACCGACTCCACGGCACACAACAACAACAACATGTGTTACTGTGGTGGCCTGTGTGTTGCTGTGATGCTAGAAACTCTGTCACCATTCTTTTAAATATGGAGTCCTGGCTTGGCGCTGTGGGTTAATGCGTTGGGCTGTAAAGTAAGTTTGAACCAAAAGGTGGGTGGTTCAATATCACCAGCAGCTCCTTGGAAACCCTGTACAGGGTCGCTATGGGTTGGAACGGACTCAACCAGCAGCATTTAACAACAACAACAACAGAGTCACCCAAAGTAGATAGATTTCAACTGAGCTTCCAGACTAAGACAGACTAGGAAGAAGGAGAAGCAGACATCTTCTGAA